AATGCCTAGCCCTGAGCAAAAAGGCCTAGGGGATTGGCTAGGAACCAAGCATGGCGAGCAAGGCCAGCCGCACGCACGTGTCCTGTGCACCAAGGCTGCCTTGGCGCATGCCACTGCTAGCCACAGCAGTTGCCCAGCAGCTTCGAGCCTTACGGCATGGTGCGAGTGCTCGCACCCCAACCTAGCAGCACTAGCTAGGTGCTCCCGTGGGCGTCCTAGCAGTGTTCACTACTGGTTGCGTTGCACGCAGTCACCTGCCTAGCCTGCTAGCCCTCCCCGCACACATTCACACTCACAGTAACATGCATCTGCACGCCCGCACTCCCTCGGAAATAACATGCGAGCTGCGCGAGCAGTCCTTCTAGACGAAGGTGGTGCTCGAGGTTTGGGCCACGTTTCATATGCTCATGCCTCGGAATTTCATTCCGAATTTTGTGTGTGACTTTAAAATTAATTCTAAATCAATTTTAGAACTAATATTTAGTAATATTGAAAATAAAAAAAAGACCAACTTAATTAAATTCAATTTTAGTGCACAAACCAAATTTAATTCAAGAACCATTCTTTAAAGTAATTTTGGCTCAACTTGATGCAACAAAAATTAAGGGATATTCTCATAAATAATTTAACCAATATAAATTAATAATGAAATTTGACAAAAATAGTTGAATAAATAATCAATCATCCAATGAAATAATTTATCCAATACTTACTTATGCACATTTGAATATTGTATCCTTCCAATATGAAGAACAATAATATTTTAAGCACAAGTATGAACATTTAAGATTTTAATCAACTTCCAAAATGATTAAAACCCAAAATTAGTTCATTATGGATTTTACCAAGTTAAGATTCAACCATTTAAGCCAATAAAGATTGAATCTTTAAGATTTTAGGTGCTTCAAACATCATATTCACTATAAACTTTCACACTACAAGCAATTCATTAGTAAGAATGTGAAATTTCAAATTTATGTGAAATTAAGAGCTCACCAAATTAAGCAACCAATATGACTTCATAAACATTCTTATTAAGGTGTAAAATTGCAGAAGATTAATGGTATAATCAAACACATAATCTAACAATTACATGTCATAATTAATCAAGGTTTAAAGATGTAAAAATTTTCGTTCTAAATGAAAACCCCCTCTAAAAACCACTTTGTGGGTGGATTTTGGCTTTCGGAAGGTCATTTTTTAACACTTAGTGTATAAAGACTGATTTAGAATGTTGATTCCACCAAAAATTCACTATCTTTAAGTCGAAATTGGGGTTCCTAGGCTAAAAATAGCATAAATACAATTTTAATCTAATTAAAAACGAGCTCCTAATCTAATTAGGATGCTTAACCAGAAATTTAAATCAATTTAAATTACCTTAATTAATTTTTAGTTGTAAAAATTAAATGCAAGAGGCTCTTATACCGCTGTTGGGTTTTACGGTGTCCGACACCACGCAGAAACAAAAGCTGGTAACCGGATCACATGCATAATAATTACAACATAAACAAAAGCATGAAAATAAGAAAAACACAAACACATAAAGAGACGAGAGAGAAAGAAACTCACCCTAGACGCGTGCTTCACTCACTCAACGAGCTCGAACTTAGAAAGCTTCACGCTCCGCAAGTGCAATACTTCTGACAACTCACACCCTTGCTCAGCGAACCAGAACTGGCCCCTACCACGTAGCTTAGACGGGGCTAAACCAAAAATAACTTAGAGTTTACGAATTATGGGTTTTTCGCTTTTGGAGATCCCTTAGAGTTCACCAACTCAAGTGAAAATCCCAATACTTAATGATTGGTATTTATAGGGAATTGTTCCCAAGAATTCCCATCATTTCAATGTGGAATAGTTGGTAAAATACCAAAGGAAAGAATTAATTTAAATCTAAATTAAATTAAAATGGCAAAACAATCATCAAACAAATGGCACAAAAAAACAAGGGAGTAGGTGAGGACCACAAAGGGAAGGACCACCTTCCCTTGCTCCCCAAGCATAATGCCGGCACCAACCATGTGGCGCCAGCTATCCCCCAGCCTTGGGCACCAAGGCGCGCCTTGCTGGCAGCCTAGTACTCGGTTGGGCTTGCTAGCTGGCGGCCCAGCAAGCATGCCTTGCATGCTGTTGCAAGCTTCTGTGCTAGGCGCGGCATGCGCCAGTGAGGCCCCAGCAAGCCTTGCTCGGCTGCTAGCCATGCTGGCGCACCATATAACATGCTTGGTTTGCTGGCCCTTGCCTTGCGCGCAAGGCTTTCTCGGCTAAAACGCTCGGCCATGCATGCTGGGCTTGCAACCATGCCTTACCTTGCGGCAAGGGCTTTGGCTACCTATGCTAGCCCACCTACTCCTCGAATGGCTAGGCCATTTCCAGGCTGATTTTTACATGCGTTTACTTGTTGTTTGGAAAAATTTTCCGTCTTGTCGATTCCTAAATACGAGTTGACTTCTGATGCTCGACTTCGACGCTCTAAACTCGATATCCGACGTCTTAGTTTGTAAAATCTCTATTAACTTATTTAATACTTCGGATTAATTCGTCGCTTTGGTTTGATTACACGATTGGGTGTGACCCGAAGGGTTCAGTCAAGAGCAAGTTGTAATATTAATTATACAGTAATATTACAGATCGGAAATGGCCT